TTGTTCACAGCTCTGAATATTTCCATGGCACTTCCTTCGCAATCCGCAGCAAGACAATTACGACTCTATCTACTCTTCATTAAAAAAACATTTAACACATTTTTCACGTCTCATCATAAAATCTTCGACAACACTCACAGCTGTTACTTAATTATACTAGAGGAAATTGCCAGTTAATATTCAACGAATAATGATTTCATTAGTACTTTTATAACTTTCCCCTCTTTCTCACTTTCCTCTATCCCATTTGTACCTCCTTCTCCTACCCTCCTTTTCTGCATTACTTTTCTATCAGTCCTATTTAAACGTTAACGTCATCCATATTACAAGTACTTCTAACAGTTGTTTAATGATAAAAGCAATAGTAAAGTGACATTTTTATCAAGAGTCATTATTGATAATTATTAGGTTAGATTAGATCGATGAAATACGCAGGTCTGATAAAAAGAAGGCAGATTATTGATGGATGGATCGATGGGTGGATTTTCTTCTGAAAGTTTCATTTCGACAGATTTATAGTATCTGGTAGAGCAAAACTCTGGACTCCTGTCTCTAAATACTTTCTTTGTGGACCCAGCGGGATCTCTTTAATTCCATTTCTCAATTTGACAAAGTGAAAGTTGTGTCTACAAGGAGGATATCAGACCGAGCGTTGTGAACACTTTTTAAACTGACAATTATTTTTGCAATCTGTAATATGAACTTTATCACTAGCAGTGTCATATTTCTAACAATAAAATATAAATGAGATAGTTTAAAACTGCCAACAGAATTAAGATATTCACCTTAAAAATAGGCAATAATCATTTGTTGAGCAAGACAACAACAGAAACAAACACAAAAATTATGTATAAGTCTTAACCTATCTAAGCGGAGGAGTATCGCGAGGGCGCTGGTGTCAGCTGCATCTTTCATTGGCTCCATTGGTCTGTGCTAAGAACCAATCGATCATATGAACCTGTTTCACCCGTCCATTCATTACTTATTTCAGGCCGAAAGAATAATGGTATCTCAGTTATGATTTCAGCATGTCGTTTAGGGGAACTTCTTGAAAAATGGCTTTGTCATCCGTGTAGTAACAAACACATTACAGCCACGTGTAGTTGTGCCGATCCATGCAGTCATTATTACAGTAAACGCAGATTAAGTTTCTCCTAATCAAAGTGGTTGAATGATTGCTTCTATTCTCATATTTACTATGCTGAGTGCCATGTAATTCTGCTGCGACTCAGAAGTTCATTATTTCTTCTCTTCCTTGATGTCCAAATACCAATTCTGTTCTAACTACGGTGTTGATCGAAGCTGTTGTTGTTCATAACCTGGGGGCAATAACCTCTCCAGGGTTAGTTTGGTATATTTAAATAGTTAGTAACCTACACATTTTTGATAAACAGAACAATATCAATATCTTAAACCTCTTTTGTCATACAGTCTCTGTTATAGAAGGGATGATTTAGTTTATTGGGTAAGCTTAAGGTGAATCACTGCAGTAGAGAATCCAAGCTTGGATTCCAGAATATCCTACGGAATCGTCCCTTATTATTTTATCTTATGACTTGGATGTCTCTAAGGGCACAAGAATTTTGTGTTTGATTTATCCTTTATTTTGCACAAAAACCTCTTTTGGCGTTACGAAATGGGTACCTCTAGAGTAGATACCTACCTCGTGCATTGTTACCGCTAAACCATCCTGCTCAGTCAGCCTTAAACGTTCGTTGTCTATTCTTATGCAAATGCACTGCCGCAAACAGTATTTATCTGCAGTTTGCGTTCAGCATTCCTGTGTTCAACATGAATACCAAGCGAATCTTCATAATGGCCGTCAGTACAACTATCTACTCTGGTGTCATTTCTGCACTGCATAATTATCTACCGCATTTCACAGTGTCAGTTCTGCAAATACGCACAGTTACCTAAAGTCTTGGTGAGATCGCAGTTTCTCAAGGCGATGGCTGTCTTCCGAGATGGTGGTATATTGACCGACGTTTTAGAGGAATTTACTGGCGGCGAGTACGAAGATGGCTGTCTTCGGAGATGATGGTGTATTGACCGACGTTTTAGAGGAACTTGCCGTCGACATAATCACATCGTCCTGATGATGGAAGCAATAAGCACCTCTGAAACGTGTGTTAATATCTAGCAGACCACACGGAGCATCTTATTGAACGGAAGTCTCGGTTTCGTCGCAAGTAATTTTAGAGATCAACAATAACTCTATTTGTACAAATGGGCTTACTTAAACTGCAAGGAATCAGACAGGAAGGAACTGATATGAAGCAGCGTTTACGGACAGAAAGACTTTTCGTTTTAGAGTAACAGACGGAAAGACATTGAGTAGTCTGATCGAATCTTATAGTTTATTCACTAGGCTGTTTGGACTACAATTTTTTTTAAAAATTCTGAATGGAAATATAATTTTGAATAAGAATTTGAGAATAAATACGAGAGAAAATATCGGGCCCTGTCTTTATTTTGGCATTTTCCAAAGAGTCTGGAAAAACATGAAACTCCCGTCTATAGCCAGTCCTTACGCCAAGATTAACCCTTTGAAGACGAACCTCATGTGAATAATATTTAAACATATCCATCAATAAAGCAGCAAACGTTATTAAAAAAAGGAAAAAAATTATGAGCTGTAAGATATTTCACTTCAAGGACTAGTAGACTACTTTGAAAAAATTATTGAATTTTAAATTGAAGTCTACATTTTCTCTTCTTTGCTGAGTGACAGAATTTCTGTTAACAAAACAAACTTATTAAGACCTCAGAGACGTAGTAGTGTTTCTTACATTGTGGCTGATGAGAAGTTTCCACTGGTTGACGAGGAACATCAGCACAGTTAGTACTTAACACCCACGTGCAGTAATTATGTCAGCTGAGGCGCGTGGATCATTAATTGAACTGGCCACGGTGTCGAGACATGAAGTAAGCAATTTGCTACAATTAAACACTGAGGTTCTAACGAGAACATTTCATCAAGCTGGGCTGTTTTTACTTGTTTGTGTGTGGGGCTGCCGAGGGCGGACAGGCGTGTGACAGAAAGCTAAATATTACGCGGCTCGTTTTTCGTCTGCTGCCTAATCACAGGATTCACTTACCTTATCAATTACTTGCAGCTTCTTCTTAAGAGAGCAATTACGATAACAGGTACAGCACGGTCTAAGGCGTTGGTCTCGACCACCCGAACACTTGGATCGTGGCTTCGAATCCTACTCGATTCATGGATGCTCGCCCGGGTTTTTCTGTGTTATGCTGTACTATATAAGCAGATACCTTGCGTCGAGTTGATCACTTATTGAAGGAGTCCTATGAGGTGTCTAAATGGATGCATAATTTGAAAAATAAATCCGTATTGAAACTGGCCACACTGCCTAATCCATTAAATCTAAGAGTTAGAAACAGAAAGAGTAATAAACTTTGGACAATACTTCAGTAAGGTGACGTTCTATGGGCAGGACTTCGATTCTATGCAGACGGCAGGACTTACCTCTTCCCCACACCCATAGTGAATCTAGGAAACCTTCTCGTCCTATTCAGAAGGCGCCGATGCCTGTTGCTTGTCCCAACGCGGAGGTTTTCATCTACCGAAGTGTTCGATGTATGAAGTTATAGTTTCACTTCCCTTATACACTATAATGGCGTGATTCTTAGTTACAGGGGTGGACCATTACTGACAGGCATTGTTCTAGCTGACTGAATTCGTGAAAGATAAAGAGGATTTGCTGCCATCTGCCTCACAACGGATAAACCCAAAACCCATTGTCATGGAGGCAGCGACCTAGAATAGCGTTTTGAAATCCTTGCCCCTAAACTTGCCTATGCAAGAGACAACGGATCCTTGGTAACCATGACGACGACTAGGAACATGACACTCTAAGCTGTCCTGTCCTCTGCTGAATTGAAAATAAACTCTGTGGGATAGTACAATTTTAAAAGTACATTGTGATTTTTGTTTTGTTTGGGAAATAATATTCATTATAATAATAAAGAGAACAATTAAGGGTTATATTTATGTAGTGTGTGATGTACTCTTTGAAGTTAAAATTTAAAAAGCCGAAGTTTGCTTCCCGATTCAGGATACTTGAACTTATAATTTGCACTTATTGCGTACCAATAATATACAACTACTTTAAATTCTTTTTAAAAGGAACTTAATTAAATAACTATTATTATTCAATTAGAATGTGTTAAATGGGAAAGAATTTTTGAAGACTAAGGAAACCCCAGTAAATATCATAATACAAGCCTACCTAAATATACTGGGATAATGGGAACGACCCATTCTTCAAGTGCCTGAGCACTGCGGGTCCCAACTTTACGTTGGCTTTAATCTATGGACATTCGGTAAGACTCCTTGGACGAGGGATCGGCCCGTCGCAAGGCCTCTACCTGTACACAGGACAGCACAACACAGAAAAACGCGGTCAAACATCCATGGCTTGAGTGGAATTCGAACCCACGGCCCCAGCGACCAAGCGGCACAAGGCCACGCCTCAGACCGCGCGGCCACTGCGGACCCCGACCTAAATATAAGCTAACTCAATAACTTATTACGATTTTCTTCCCCATTCAAACAAGTTAATGTTTAGGTACTTAGTTTTCTGTGCATTTACTTCTAGGTAATTCTTCATATTAACGGCTAGTAGAATTTTTATCTTTTGATTTAGTGCACTTCTATTTTCGTCCAATAAGGTAACATTGCCAGCGGAGTCCAGAAACTGATGTGTTCCATAGAGTTTAAGTTCACTTTATTCTCTTAAAACTTTCTGTGGTGTATCCTAAAACAACTGTGTAATAACAGAAATAATTCTAGAAATATGAGCAAATTCCTTTCGCGATATGTAAAGAAAATTTATAACGTTTGAAGTTGAAACAGTGTGGTTAAATAGCCTGAGAATCAATCATGTAGCAACACTGAAACTGTGATTCTGCGTCTTGAATGCAATGGTTGTCGCGATCGTTAGATGTTTTGATTTTCTGTACTAATTTGCAGTAATGCTGGATAGGTCGTGTTTTGTTCATAAACCGGTCATACAGGACACTGCGTGGGAGGAGCTTGGCGAGCAGGTCAGTAGGCCTGTAGTGTTCTTATCAAGTACAGACGGTTAGAGGCCTCAGGCTGTTGTACTGAGTTGGGTAAGTTTTCGTTCTTCTTGTTTTGGTATTTTATGGAAATATGAACCAATTCATGCCACACTTTTATTTTTATTTGAAGCTGTAAATTAGAACGTAAAATATAGCTAATGAATGATGTCGAAACTGTAGCGAAGTCCAGATGTTTGGCAACGGCGGTAACAACATCATATTCAGGAAGACAGACGAGTAGATTAAATTGAGGAATGCTCCCTTTCGGTTCAGTTCACATTCTTTTCTCTTTCAATCTACTATCAGCAAGCTAAAGGTTAAAATATAGTAAATTATAATTTAACCGTTGCGCTATGAAATTCCCAATATCCAAGGAAATGTTCAGAGAAAAATATTTGGACATTAAAGAGATCAATTAATAGGAGACTTGAAAACATTGCACTGTTAGCTTTATAACCCGTACCCTTTATAAAATATTGTTAGGGCGATGAGATCAAGGGGAAGGATATAGTCAGGGCATGCGACACGCAAGGATAAAACACTCCAGCTAGTTAGAAATCAAACTGATATAATAGATTTTTAATAAATAGTGTGTTAATGATTGGATTCATTCTGCTCAGGATTTGGTCAAATCGCGAACCCTTATGAACACTGTAAGTCTAATGAATGTTCGAGTACCATAAAGGGCGGGAACTTTCTTGATTAGCGGAGTAACCGCTGAAAACAGAAAGTATTTTGTTGTTGTTAATCACTTATATATCGGCCTACACTAACTGCTACATAGTGTAGAATCAATTGAAAAGCCGTCAGCCGCTTAGCTTGCGAAGGATTCACAAACTTTTATGGGACATTTCATTTAATTAACCGTTCTCATTAGACAGATAAATTCTGCCTACAAATTCACACTTCAAATTGTAATTGTTTTATTGACACATAATCTTTGTAACTCTTACATAATAGACATATATAAAGGGTATAAAATGATCTTTGTAACTCTTACATAATAGACATGTATAAAGGGTATAGAATGTAAATCTTAAATCCTACAAAGTAAAACGTCTTTGCATTTTCTAAACATATTCTCCGCGTCAAGTTTATAATACTGAAAAAATCTGAGTCTGCCCAATTTCAGTGTTAAATTGGTCCGTCCAGTAGGTCGGTCCACTTAGAGGGCACAGTGCTCTTGAATATTAAGAGTTTAGTTGAATTAGAGCCTGTTAAGGCAAGATATTAAACTATTCTCACCCTCTCAGTGGTCGGAATTAAAGTCTTAAAGATACTCTGCATAAATGGAGCCGGGAACAGTGTAATCAAGTGCTGATGAAAGCCAACAAGTAGGGTTGAGAAAGTTTGTTAAGGGAAGGCGAAGGCGGGGAAGAAATGTCGACCTCAAGGCTAATTTCACATTAATTAAAGCTAATATCTGGCTGCTTGTGAAGCGAAACTCTCTTCTCTCCCTCCTTTCACCCCTCAAGCCTTTCTATTTTTCATTCACCCCTTTGACACCCCGACATATTTTAATCTTCTGTTCTTGTTCTGTTGGGGAGGCCTGGCGGTTCCCTGTCCTTGTAAAAAGAGCCGGATTAAAATAAAACATGAAACGAATCGGCTGTTTTCCTTATTTTAGTCTGATTCTTCATCATCACAGCTTCTTTATTAAACCATCAGAGGGCTTCCAGTCTCCTTGTCTTCATGATCAGCCGGCAAGTCTTGTTTACTGTTGTATTCGTTCTACTGCTTGTAGAGCGATGGAAGACAACGCGATGATGAGAATGTTTGACGTAAGAAGGATAAAGTACATTATGATGGAAAACATTACTTAATGCAGACTTTATTAAGCTGTAAGCTTCAGGTGATATTATTGGAATGTCAAAATCAAGGAGAATGAGTGGGCAGCATTACATTTGTCCTTGAGTGGAACATTGCGTAACATACCCTACAACTTTTATAAGAAATATACCTACATTTTTCTTAAGATTTCAATTTACATAAGCCATTTATAAGCAAGTCCTTTCCTGCTTATTGTTCATGATAATTATCATACGTCAGTTGTCACCATGAAGAGTGTTGGTAACATAAAATTTAACACTTACTATCAAAATTCAAATTAGTAAACATTTAGGGTTTGAGATTTTAACGACGATGAGTCCGAAGATGGTTTTCATCTGGGTTTTAGTGTCGTGTAGTGTGGTAGAAGTTTACCAACCCAGAAGACAGCCATCTTAGTAAACAATTATTTATGGGCATATGTTTCAGAAACAAGCATTCTTTAGAGAAATAGTACAATGAATTTTACGATTATATGAATTTTGCTTTTTTCGTTCTGAAATAATCATTAATAAATCATTAAGGGCAGGCTTGTGGAATTTTGCAGTGGAGGGAGATATGGAGATATTTGCAGATGTTGTTAAGACATGTGTGCTGCAAGACGACAGTGTTAAAGTTTCCCCCGAGCCGTAGCACCAAGATGAAGCTGTGTGAGTACATTAACAGATAACGAAATGTCAGAATAGCGTAACCTTGGCGCTTTATTCTATTCGCAGTCATTGCTTCCAAATGTTCGCGTCGTCAGTACCAAATTTTGGTGCTCTCTTGCAATAGCATAAAACAAGCTGGAGTTGACGAACAACGACTTCCAGTACAAAATATGATCAAAATCTGACGACATAAAATATTTATTGTATAATTATACTAAAAACCACAAGACGTGCAGGAAAGTTTCCGGGTAATGTTTCGTTTTTTTTTCCAATTTTTGTTACACCTTTTTTCGATAAATATTTAACGAGTTATGCTTGAAATGCGGGTAAAAGTGCATGAAGTCGTTATGTATGTAAAGTGTTAGATTTTGTAGTCCGATTTTAACCAGAATTGAGATGCAATTTAATAAACTTTCTCGATATAAAAATTTATGAAAATCCGTTTAGCGGTTCTCCAGTTGCTTACATACAGACGGACGGACAGACAGACAGACATGGCGAATCTATTGTGCTCATATCTTACAAGACTTTGCTGCAATTACGTTAAGATGCATCAATATTGAAACAACCCAAAGTTTAGAAATCATGCTTTGCAATTTTATGTAGTTGAAATTAGCACAAATATTCTAAAACAATTAATAAATAAATTATAATTTTGATCTGAAGTTTTCCCAGTCCCTGTACTCAGATTGAATCGTTCAGATTTAAGCGTCATGCACTTAAATCTTTCCTTACAATCTTGTTCCTTATTATCCAGTTTTGAAGCGGTCTGTTGCGTTGATTCCCTGTACTTTGCACTAGCCGCATTGCGATTACTGGCAACTTAAATGTAACTAATAGCGGTTACACCCCATCCATTCATTATCATTAACCTCCCTGTACTAGGTTCTCAGCCCTCTCATGCCAGACGACGATGCATTTTACCACTTCCCCGTTCCTTATTAAGCAACACACCCTCAGCTTAACCCTTTAAGCTCCATCACTTGTTCTGTTTTCCTCCCCACAGCTTCAGAGTGTTTACTAATCCCTTGAGAAGACATGACTCCATCTTGAACAAAACTTGCCTCTTGTGGGACAAATTTCTGTGTCAACATGATTGATTAATTGATCGCTAGTTGTCTTTTTTGTGGTGCAGTTACATGTTTTATACAATCTGCAGTTAAAAGGCTGAGACGTAATGTTTTGCGTGAAATAAGGATCACATTTTATTTAGCTTGGTATCGCATACTGAGTTTTCCTTGTCCGCCTAAGTTACGGGGTTGTATCCCCATGAAAATTCAGTACCCCCGTTTCTGTAGCCACAGAATGACTTACTTTCCTTCTGAAATCTTATCAGTTCACAATTATCAACAATCGACTCAAAGAGTTGTCCTGGTACTTTAAGTACCACACAGTGCAGATGCATGTGAGACTGGAGGTATGACTCCACGCAATCTTAACCTCGGCACTAGAGGGGTGTGGTTATCTTCACGTACAGGCTACTTTACCCCCCTATAAAATAATCCCAATACCCACACTCCCTCCCTGAATATATGCATAGAGTCTTCCCACTAAACTAATCTACGTTGTCCGAGTTAAATTCTGCCATATGGGAATCGAACTCAGGATGCAAAGATAGATAGACCTTCACCTTCCTCTATGGACTGAGCAACATGAGCTTACAGATTTACATTAATTAAATTAAACGGCCTTCGTTGTATGTATTTAAGAATAAGAATATTAGGTAATTTACATATAATGAATGAGATGTCTTAATTGGTCATCAGTGTATCATTTTATAAAGAAGGATTTACAGAGTACTAAACAAATTTAAAATGACAAAGAAAAGCTCGGTGCTTTTATTGACATTTATTTGTTTAAGTCTAACATAAAATATTATTTTCAGAAAACAACCTGGACTGTAATAGAATAATTTTAATATCAGACATTTCATTCCTGGTATGTGCATCGGATTGGAAATTCGCTTTAATTTTTTTCTTGTTACTGTTGTATATAGCTTCGTTAAAACAAATCCCTTCATAAAACTTCTGTTTATTTCTTGAATTATAGGAAAAACACTTCGTGGATTCTTGTATAGATCTTACCAACGTTATCTTCATAATGGCGAATCATGCATAGTGCAGGGGATAGAAAAAGGAACCTGGAACTTTCTGATTATTAGTATAACGACGTGGTGATGAGAATCTGGGTCTAATTTAAAAATCCGCTTTATTAGCTCTCTTTCTCCTCTTTGTGAGCAGCCAGCGACTGGCTTCTGCTTCCATTCCACCACCATCTTCTCTCAGCTGTACAATCTTCCACTCCCGAACACTGTTCCCCATCATCAGCTTAATTGGAACTTCTCCACACAATACGGAGTCGAGCTACTGCCTCCTTGTATTATTAATCAAGAGACGCTCGTGTTAATAGCTTGTTAAAAGGGTTTAATGGAATCAATGGTTCTTTATTTTCCATGTACTTTTCCTCTCTTGCAGTCACGTACTGAATGCTCTTCTCTTTCGTTTATGAAGTTTTATGAGGAAGTGCTCTTGTGTGGTGTTGGTTAAAGAAGTTCGGCTTTAGTTTCAAGTAGCTGCTAGCCTGTTCATATAACGAAGACACACAGACATAGAATGCTCTGCTGTAATTAATTTTATAAAGTGGTTCAGTGTTATTCATTCTGCACATTATCACTGACAATCTCAGTTTAATACATATTGATCATTAGATATCCAGGCAACCAACCGTAACATCTGTCTACATATATATTTACCGATCAATCGTCTACAAATAAACTAAATGCAGTACAAATATCAATTTATTGTTCGGTAAATTATGCCTTGTTCTCTCATCCAACAAAAGTTAATGCTTTATATCCGTACTTATGCCAATGAATCAGGTTATTGGCTGGCGGACGATCGTTGAGGCACATAGATAACTAGTCGATCGATCGATCACTGTGCCATCCAGTTTGTGAAATAGTGAGTCAGATATTTGAACTCTTTTTCATTAAGTCAGTCGCTGATAAGTCTTTCAGAAAGTTAGTTATAAAGTAAAGAGTCCAGATAGTTCTGCATATTGGAGAGTATGTGGATTGGATTCAACAGGCTAGGGGTCACGAAATTAAATTTTGGCTCCATAAATTGCGGAGAACGTTTTGATCAGTTGAGTGACCATTAGCTTTTCAAAAAGAATTCTGTTCCACGCAGTGAACTATTTTTCCTGTGAAGTTTCTGATAGTGCAAATTCTTGTTTCTTTATTTTTTCTAGGTCCATATGTTCTCAGTTTAATGTTTACAAGAATTTTCCGTTTCTGTTATTCTCTCGGTAACAAACTAATTTTCAGACCTCTGTATATGAGCAAGAACAATTCTGACTTTATAGTTCTTTAATTAATCTTAATATTTAATGAAAGCGACTGGAGATACGATATATTCTAAATTTAACCATTTGGAACCTAAACTCTTCCAAATAATATTTTAATAATCAATTTTATACCACAAAGAAAGCATAATTCGTCTTCATTAAAAGATCAATTAGTTAATTCTGCTACGAATAAATCCTTAAATTCTCTCTGTGGGGAAAATTCATAATTGCTTATTATTAATGAATGTGGTACGTGTAGCTACTATTGGGCTCTCAAGGGTTGAAGTTAACAATGCCTTAGCAGATACACGAATATATAATTTTTATATTTCCCCCCCTCATACTGCCTCACATTTTGAACCTATTATGATAGTGCGTCTGAACTCTTAAACCTAGGGGACTGCCCCATAACCCACACCATCGAACAAGGACCTACCACTGACTTCACGTGGACAAGAAAGGCACCCTGGGGGGGGACAGAACATGGCGCAAACCTATAACCCAGACTTGCAGCAGCAGCAGCATACGGACTTTGGAATGTGTTTAATTTAAGGCGTTGCTCTGACAGGCCATATACCCCCTCCCTGTCCCACTTCAACATCTCTCATTCTGTGTTAACTCGTTCTCTCTCAGACTCAACTGCTTTATTCTTTAATAATCAGTTATGCATATTAAATGTGCGGACTAGACATGAAGTGTCCATGTTCGCTCATCCACTTGTGTTCTGATGCAGGAATTGGCGGAGAGGAGCGGGGTATACTCCATTATTATGAAGGTCCGACCAAGCCCGGGTGGTGGTGATTCTAGTGGCAAATGTGAGTACAGCCTCTTACAAAATGCACATCTGTCATAAGAACAATTATACGCAGGCCAACAGCCTCTGGTAGCTAGTTGTCAGTGTAGAAGCCGGACGCCATGAAGACGGAAAGGGAGGGTTTTTTCTTGTCGGCAGTAAATCGGGTTGTTGGGTTAACTTCACGCTCCGGCCGTTATGTCTACCGGAAAATAGACATCATACTGGTTGGATACGAGGCTATGTGTGCCCCAGATTCAGATTTAGTGCAGAAGATTAAAAGCCTCCTTTTGCGTGGAGCCCAATCACTGTACTGGCTTGTTCTTTTTTGTGTTTGTTTGTTTGTTTGCTTGCTTATTCTTTCTTTCTTCGTTTGCTCCCGCCTATCTTTCATGGTTCGTTGTTCCTTCTTTACTTACTTTGTGTTTGTAGTTTAAAAGTGTTATAGTGTAGGAAGTTGAATTAACGGAACAATAGGTCTTGTTCCTCATTTTAGGGCACGGAGCTGTTAATGTTGTTTGTTCACTAGATAGAAGGTCCTTGTGTCGTCCTTCCCATTGCACATATATTCTAAATCAGGCTTCAGTGTATCAAAAAGTTTCACATTTGTCACTCTTGCTACTACGTAAATGATAAACGTGAAATTTATTGTCACTTAATTTCTGATATTTTTTACTCTTGAATTGTCTTACCATTTTGAACTGGCAATAAGATTACATGCAACATATACTCACACAATAGGCCTAAATGTGGAGCACGTGACAAATGGACATGATTTTAAGAATAAAATGAATTCATGAGCGACCGCTGCTTATGTTGTACTCCTGAGTTTATAACGTGATCAACACAGTCATTTGTAAATTCGATAGTTCATGCTTAATATCAGTTAAAATTCGAATTGTGTATCAGGTTTACCTAATAAAGAATTGTTCAACTATATATATTAATTATGGTAACTTCTTTGTTTGTAAGATTGTGAAAGAAGATAAAACATGAAATATGTTTTTAAATCGTTATGTCTCTTTTCATCAAAGTCAGTTGTGTAGGTTTATTCTCTAAGAGGATCGTTATGAATTTGTATTTCTTTAATCGCCGCTAATTTTATAGAGTGACATATTATACTAGCGATTTGCTAATATTATAATCTTTATTGTGATTTAATGTAAGAAATTACTGGGAGTGACATATTATACTAGCGATTTGCTGATATTATAATCTTTATTGTGATTCAATGTAAGAAATTACTGAAAAACGCTAAGGAATTTATGATCTGAGAACTACGTAAGAAATATAGTCGTGTGTATGTTGATACTTAGTGACCACCAAATCCAGGAAATAGTTGTTCAATTCAAAAACCTATTATTCCACCCACTTTTCAATTCATTAAATATCGTTATCAAAAACTTTTTTAAGTTGCTTTGTAGAATTATAAAATAAGGCGTCTTTCATCTGTAAATAACAAATTTAAACAATCGTTAGACAAAAAATTGCCCTTGAAAACATGAAATTATATAGACTAAGGAATATTGAACATAACAGCAATTTTAAGAATTAAAAATTCTGGAGCTCTCGCTAGAATTTGCCATTTTACGAATTCCGGAAGCAGTCACTTCCTAGCGGAGAAATGTACATAGACTTTCAATTAAAGTACTGGTGAATTAGTGTGGCCCGTTCTTAACCAAAACTGAAAATGTGCCAAAGAATTTTACCAAGACTGCAGTACTAATAATTTCGTGAAAATATGTTAGGCAGTTAAAGAGTTGTTCCATGAGGACTGACGGACGGAATCACAGCCATGGCGAAGTTAGTAGTCTTTCTTTCACAGCTTATTTATGCAGATTTCTTATTATTTATATGAGAAGAAAAACCTATAAAATTATATTAATAGAAATTTGGCAAAGAATGCAAACAGAATAATTATGCAGGCCACATACTGGGATTAGAATGAATTTGAAGGAGGAATAGAAATGCCACTTTCGTTGTATGAAATTTAATTGGTTATAATTAATGATAAAGGAAGCTAATTTATTGGTGTCAGGCAATTTATTATACATTGATCTTCATTTCTCAGGACACATCATAGCCCTATCCGAACTCCATCTACAGAATGGAATGTGTCGTTGGAAATTATGGACTGTCAAATCGATTTTGATGAGACATACGTAGACACTAAACCATCAGAAATGATAAATAGCAAGTCTGCAATCACAGGCCTTTGTCCTCACAGGACCGTCGTTTCGTGGCGTGTACAATTTTTTCGTTGCAACTTAAATCTGTAAACAAGATGGCTATCTTGTTTATTAACGCATTGCTATGTACCTTCATATAAGGGACCTTCAGTTTCATAACGGGCAGACAGGGACTTGCTTTATTACGCATGGTTTCGATGACAATTCCCTTGCCGTATTTTTTAAGATAATGCTAACTTTATAGTTTTATGTAATAAAATTGTTCTATTAATCACTCATTATTAGGCTATACCTGTATCTTGTTAATTAAAATATTTGAATGTTGAATGGATGAATGTAAACGTATAGGCTATCTTGTAATGAACTTGAAAAATAGCAAGTAAAAGTTAATTTTAATTTACAGCAGTTGGCATCAACGAAAAGTATCGGATATGAACATACAACGTTCTTAATTTTAATTTACAGCAGTTGGCATCACCGAAAAGTGTCGGATATGAACATACAACGTTTCAAACGTATAGGCTATCTTGTAATGAACTTGAAAAATAGCAAGTAAAAGTTAATTTTAATTTACAGCAGTTGGCATCAACGAAAAGTATCGGATATGAACATACAACGTTCTCTCATTTGCATCTGTTTGACTTTAATTGACTATATGGGTGCCAATAATGACAGTACTGTGAGAAGTTTAAAATTGCTGCTTTGCTGATTGAATCCGTCAGCGAATATCAGTGATATATGATTTAAAACGTAAGGCTTTTACGGAAGGGAAACAGTTCATAAGATCCCAAGCGTTTAAGCGAGAGGAAAGTTTACGAATTGGGATATTTATTCAAGGTCAACGAGCTGATAATGTGCATTTCCAACTGCCGCCGACATCAACGTGTTGAGGTTTCACGGGTCAACGTATGCCATAGTTAAATTATAAAATATACTAAAAGCTGACAATCTGCAGGGATACGTTGTCTACCCCTGTTATGAGCGTTTCCTCATCCTTCATCTTAAACTAAACGTTAATTTATGTAGATGTTTTAGCAGGTCACTTTAGTTTTGAATGGGACTGTACATTCCTATGCAGATGAGTGACGTTGGTTAAGTATGGACGGGGTGGACGATTATGGGTTGATATCTTCCGCTGTGATGGAATTGGTGTTATAAAATGAAAGCTAAAGAATAAATCCTTTTTTATACCCCGCAGCGCTGTCTTCAGTCGTCGTTTTGGTATTGTAACGACATGGCTAAAACTGTCCTATTGTCTTCTTGTATAATTCCGGTGATTTTAATACCCGGCTTAATCTGGCGGTCATGTCTGTCAAACCAAGCACAAACTTAATGAATGGAATTCTGTAACACGTGTTTCTGTTGCTCAGTTTGGTATTTGACCCACGGTATTTATTCTAGATATTTCCACTGCGAAGATAAGCTCTTAGAAGTGATTCATCCTCATGCATCGCCTGGTCGGTATACGTTAGGTTAGGGTTTAGGATTTGAAACTATACGCCCTGCAATGCCTCTTGACGGGAATATAGCAAAATATTTTCCCTTCACTTCTTTCAAATAAACCAAAGCATTTGACGGGAATATAGCAAAATATTTTCCTACACTTCTTTCAAATAAACCAAAGCAGTTCGTTCCAAAGTGTGGGACTTTTACATGGTTTTCTATATGAACAGCGAATGAGCAATTAGGCCTATAACAATTTAACACTAATTTACAATTAGGACTAAACTTTTAAGCATGAATGTGTATGGTACGTAAATAAGTATCTGGACTATATGAGGATAATGTTTAGTGCAAAAGGACAATACTAGAGGTCAGGAATCGAGCCCATTATAGTCCTAAGTTGAATGAAAATCAAACCCGTTGCTGATTCCTTCTGTGTAACCCGTGCAAGCTTCAAAGTTGTTCGTATTTTTGAATCAGGCTGCAGTTGTTATCCAGTGGTGATCCAGGTCTTACACCTGAGCATGCTATCGTAAAGTAATATGATTTTTATTGTTCAGAGTTATGATATTTTGTACGTGGCACTGTTTTCATGCTGGTGCCCCCCTTACCTCTCCAAAGCCAAGGAAACTCCTGAATGTATTCCATAAGCCATAAACTGTAGAGCTTTATGTTTAGAGCCGTTCCCCAGCGTCGTATGATACTACAAGCAATCTGAGCACTGCACTGCATATGGGAAACAAAATGGACATTTATGCTCGGGTCTAACCCCGTGTCGACCGCACAAAGTTACGTAATTTATGAAAAGTAGTGTAAACTTACAAAATATTACTCTATTTTATTTACTTGTTGTTTATTTAACGACGCTGTTGATAGCTCAGCTTATATAGCGTAGGATGATTAATAAATAATGCATTGGAAAGGACGTGGAAGGAAAGAGTCGTGGCTTAATTTAAGGCAGTATCCTGAAATTTGCATGGAGGGACTGAGGAAATCACGAAAGTCCGCAGGATATCCGGTCTTCGGGTAAAGATTTTATCCCATGACTGCCTCAATACGAAACACAAATGATAAACACTCGGCCGTTGTTCGGTGTCTTATTCTGCTTTAAGCCTGTGTTATCATTGACATTACCTACTCCACATAAAAACACACTTTCTAACCTAACCAGAAACAGAACTTTAATTGTTCAGTTCGTAAGAACTAATTTGATACGTCAGCTACTAAAAACTCATGAGAATTCTCGAATGGCGATGCGTACAATTAACTTTATACTCTAAAATCATTTACTTTCTCCTATCTGTTAACTGTCACACGTTTCTCATGACATTTTCTTTTCCGCCAGTTTTGTATCCCATTCTGCTGTCAAAGGAAGATACAATTTCAAACG